GGTGAAATGCAACTGAAAATGGGTTTAAAAATTAGTGATTTTAAATTTACCAAAATCTCCAGTTATTGGAGGTACACTATCAAAATATCAAAGAATATGAATTTGTTACATTTGTAAAGGGTGCAATGCATTCGTAATATAATATTTTAATACTGCCGTAGCTAAGGGGGTCATTTGGGGTAATTTACGAAAGTCATTATAGTAGCATTCTGATTAAAATCCGATGTAGGTGTAGGTTTTGTTTATTTATAAATATTTTTTGTTTTTATTTGCCATTATTAAGTTTATTATCTATCGTATTTCTGTCGCTGTAACTACATCTGACTCAATGCAATATGGAACGAGAATGGTTTTCGACAAGTTTTGTTGACCAATCACAGAGCGCCTTATAGAAAAAGTTGTCCGACTAGCGCATGCGAAGATGGCAAATTATGGTGTTAGCTTGCTGAGAAATCGATCAGAGGTGGTGATTTAGAGGTGAATTCAGCCATCTACATGCAAAAATAGTAGCTTTGGTGAGTAATTTAAATCGGGGAACTGAATGTATTCGAGTTAATTGCGATGTCAAATATAGACACACTTTGAAGGCGGCGTTACCGTCTGCCCACCGTCAGCCAAGCCGTGCCGAACACCTACCGGCGTTTGTTAACAGTTCCCTGTACTTAGCGATTAGCGATTAGTCCGGTTTTTTACTGACATGACATTACATGAATCAACTATTTTCTTATGATTTTATATATTACATTCTCACACTTCGGAGCAGATGGCAGAACCAACTTTCAAGTCAGGAGATCCAGTTCACTCGATATCAGCGCACTGGATACTCTCCGATGTATAGACGTAGTAGCACGTCGTCCATGCCCGATGTGACCCGATCTCCCTGACGTAATTGTAAATTAATAACGATGTTTTATCTGTTCTGAAAATGCTAATAAATATAATAATTTCGAAATGTACAAGTAATGAAGTACAAAGAACAAATAACTCAATGATCAATGAATTTGATTGTAAAACTGCATGTATTAATTTATTGTATTTGTTATGTACTTTGTGATTTTTGGGGCGTGTAAATGATTATCCAAAAATAACGTTATTGTTATCTTGCCAACTAGATTTGATGAACGTATCTGACTTAATTTTGAAAGGCTATATAAGTTGTTTCCCTTGACTTGAAATAATGTTTCTCATATAACGAACAAAAACATTGCAATATGCTTCTGAGCCATGCAAACAGATTCGTAGACAATTAGTTTACAACATTATTAGTACCTGTTTGTACGCAATCCGAAAACGGGAACTTATGAATTGACTTATGAATTGTGCGTCCATGTGTCCGATTCTATATCTTAGACATGCCTGAGAATTGTTTGTGGGGTATATGGGTATTATCTTGTAAAGACAAGTCAGATTAGGATATATATATATATATATATATATATATATATATATATATATGTGTGTTAACATATGGGATGAGAATGTACATTGAGGTTCCCCTAATGCTTAAATAACGATAATGGCAGTTTTCGTTACAATATATACAATACATATATAGTAATTGAACACTTAACCACCCAGCCTTGAAAATGTTTGGCTCATTGAACAACACGTACTATCCATTATCAAACTGTTTTCGCAGATAAGCATAACTCCAACAAATTTGTGTAAACCCCATCGGTCTAGATATATGTGATTCTCTCAGATGTCCCATACTACTAACCACAATGGTGAGAATAACGCTGGGATAAAGGCAGTGAAGACTATTTTGATTTCTTACTTTCTCACATGGGAACAGTGTGGGTTTGTGATTTTTAGACACGGTTTCGTCTAACTCAAGAATTCATTTAAAGCCAACGAAAAATGATTATATGTTGTTGCCAGTTGACTGATTTGATTTTAATTCCACCAGAGAATGCAAATATTTCATGGACATTATTTCATTTGACCACCGGAAGTTAAAGCCGAAGATTTTGAGCGCACTCTGACTTGCATGACTGACTTGTTCATTAGACTGAGTCAGTTGAAGACAATAAAAACGGGGTACCAAGTCACATCAATTGGTTCTATAAAGATGTAATGAAAATATCACAGCGTACTGAATTCAAAGCTTCTCACCGATTCAATGCTGATTTCGCAACATGTCGCTTTGACCGATGTACTATAAAATAAAACTTCCTTTGCATGTTTCATTTGTTCAATGTCAACACCAGCCACAGCAGTTTTAATCACAATTTGTAAGACTTTCATACTGTAATACTTGCTAAAGTTGCAAACTCATCGAATGTATTAATTGGACGACATTTATATCCAGAATGTTGGGGTTGCAACAGTATTTACAAATATGCCTGACATGGTTTTGCCAACAATGCCAGCATAGATACTTTAATATCAATAACAATAAAGTAAAATTAATTTATATTTATATCAATATAAGTCTAGAAACTATTTTGGTAAGAGAAAGGGAAAAAGGAAGGGGAGCATGCCCTGACCATTACTTCTTAAGCGCCACAGTTAATATTCTAAAGGTTAGTGTGAATTATTTGAATACTTCTATACATGTAAACCAATAAATAAATGTGTATCAATTGATATAAAAAAAAAAACGATTCGATAAGGAATGTTTTCGTGGTTTAGTAAGCGTAAACTTTAATGTGGTAGTTTGTAGTTCAAATGCTCGACATGGAAAACACCCTTTTACAATGTGCGTATGCGATTGTATATTAATTTTAGAATTCCTCTCGAATAGTACATGTTTGTAATGTTAACGAGAAAGTCGAGATTCCGATGGAACTTCTGTATGTTATAGTATTCAATGATGTATGGAAACGTTTTGGTTAAAAATAGCAGCAGCTGTCATATTTATCTAATGCAGAGTTGGTGGTAATTACAAGTATAAATAGTAACTAAACGATGCAATATTGTGCGAATAAATATTGTCCAATGCGACGATTTAATTTAAGAAGGGTGACCACGAATGCACTACTCTGGTCATCTTGTATGCAGTTACAGCGACCATAGCGAGGTGGCCTATTTGCTGTGAATGGGGTATACGTAGGTCATGTGATCATCATTTCCAGCCACACGTCATTACGGAAAGCTAGCAACATGACGATATCCAGTTTTTACAAATTTACATTACCTCTGGTACTATTTTTTCGATTTTGTTTTTGATTATTTATAGTTTTATAATATCAAAGCAATCAGACTTGCGTTTTCCAACAAGAAGTCGAAAATATAACTTTTTACCAAAAATGACAAACATATCCATAAAAATAAAAGAAAAGAAAAAAGTCCAATAGGGGTACCTACTTGTCTTATATCAAAGCAATGATACGAAAATATCACTTTTTACTAAAAATGACAAAAATATTCAAAATTAAAAATTTAAATATATCACCACGAAATGAGCAAATCTGAGAGAGGTTTAACCAAGGTAAGATCAGCATGGAGCTCAATAAAAGTATATTTGTTAGCTACATGTTCGAATAGACTCACACTAGTTTTGAATAGAACGTGACATCATACATATATTTATTAATTAAACTGTTAATTATGACATCAGAAAACCCGTGGTATAATACAAAATCACAAAATCCGATAAATCTGTATTTCGACAATAGTATGTAAAAACTCATCAATTGAAGTGCAATTCAATTGAACAACGAATGTCAATTCTACGATATTCCACTTAATTGCCAATACAAATAAACAATTATCGTTGGATCGTTAACTTTAAAAAAACACATAGATAATACTTTGCAAGTTAGGCTTTCCTAACATAAAACATTCCGATTCGCCTTCTCGCATTACAAGCAGGTGCAAATGTACTGTAGGAATTCCTACAGACGGTATTCAATATGCAAACATGCACACTTGATTCTTCGTAAAATTTCATTGTCACGTCTTGAGATTCTGAGTATTTACGCACAATCGACTCATCAACAATATCCCGATGACTGGAATCGCTTGCCAATTAGCGTCTACCGTTAGCTAGATTAGAAACTTAGCTTACTAAATCTCATTTCCGATCTGGAATTTCTGTAAAATGTTCATGTAAAATGTTCAGTATGACAAGTCTCTACCGAGAAACTTCTTCACTTTTACAAGAATGTATCTTGTGCACCATGTTGCTTTTGCTTAATTAGCAACAATCGTTTGTGGTATCTTCAAATCATTTTTGCAAATCACAACAACTCGAATAGATTGAAATTGTCGATCCACAATATATAACAACATCAGAAATATACAATGGTAAGAAACTCACAAATCATATATTCGAATAAAATTCAATACTGTTTCACAATCATCACATAACTAACAATTATCAATGTAATGACATTACAGAATAGTGTGAACACAGGTAAATGTATTTTGATATCTGAAGGTACTTTCCATATTTGTGAACAGAAAGCGAGAGTGAGTGTATTGGTGTCGTTACTTACCGAGTGTTGTGTTGATATATTTATTAATAAGCAACTCCAGTACTGTAAGGGTAACTGGACCACATGACAATACTGCGTCATGGAATTCTTTGAGGTCGAACTTGTCACCTATGCATGACGTAAGAATGTTCTTAATTATTATCTAATCGAT